TCGGCGCCATCGAAAGGCACGGAAGTAGCGTGCGTGACGTCGGTGGGCGGCTCGACGTGGCCACCATTGTCGTAGATGTCGTCCAAGCTGGGGTCGAAGCGCCCCTCCTGCGGCTCGAAGTGAGCCCGTCCTTGACCACGAAGGGGGTCACGGTCATCAAGCGGCGGCGGCACCATGACCGCGAGGGGGGTCATGGTCGTCAAGCCGTTGTCCTCGCCGCACTGCCCTTCGCTCGAGATATCGTACTCCTCCACACGGCCCCCGTCGAGGTCCTGGAAGAACGGCTTCCCTGGGATGAAGGTCTCGGCGTCGGCGCTGAAGCCAGCAAACTCCGCCTTGACGATGGTAGGGCGAATGGGCTTGTCCTCAGGAACCGAGGCGCCATCCGCGAAGCTGTAGAAAACTGCCTTGCCAGCGGCAAGGTCTACATCCCCTCCAGTGGCAGCGCCGGCAAGTTGATCTGACACGAACCGATGCTGACCAAGGGCTCCTGCGGAGCAGGAGGGGTCGTCGTCATCGTACTCGATCCGCACGTCGTAGTCGAGCGGCCGCCACTGGACATCGGCGGCGGCGACGGGCACGGGATGTTCTTCTCCTCGACGATCTTCTTGCACATGAAGGCCATGAGCATCTTGTACTTGCGGCGCCGCTTGAAGTTCTTGATAGCGGAACGGCTCGCAGGAGGAGGAGGAGGAGGAGGAGGAGGAGGAGGAGGAGGAGGAGGAGGAGGAGGAGGAGAATGAGGAGGAGGAGGAGGAAGACGAAGCGGAGGCGGAGGTGGAGGAGGAGGGGGAGGAGGAGGAGGAGAGGAGGAGGAGGAGGAGGAGGAGGTGGAGGAGAAGGAGGATGAGGGGGGGGAGGGGGGGGAGGGAGGGGGGGAGGAGGAGGAGGAGGAGGCGGAGGTGGTGGTGGAGGAGGATGAGGAGGAGGAGGCGGATGCGGAGGCGGATGCGGAGGCGGAGGTGGAGGCGGAGGCGGAGGAGGAGGAGGAGGAGGAGGAGGAGGAGGAGGAGGAGGAGGAGGAGGCGGAGGAGTAGGAGGAGGCGGAGGAGGAGGCGGAGGAGGCGGATGAGGCGGCTGAGGAGGCGGAGGAGGAGGAGGAGGAGGAAGAGGAGGAGGAGGAGGAGGACGAGCAGAAAGGGCGGAACCCTGTTGGATGCCTCTCGGTGTCTCTTCGGTTTTTTTGCGGAAGCCTCTTGGAGTCCTCTTGGGGTGTATCAGGGGTCTCTTGGCAGTCCTGGGGGCCTCTTGGGACGTCTTGGGTGCCTCTGGGGAGCGTCTTGGGGCCTCTTGGTGGTCTCTTTTGCGCCTCCCGGGGGCATCTTGGGGGCCTCTTGGGGCCCTGGGCACCTCTCGGGGCCGTCTTGGGGCACCCTTGGAGCCTCGGGGGCCATCTTGGGGCCATCTTGCCGGAGATCGATTAGAGGATGGGCCGTAGTACGTGCTGATGAAGCTGATGAGGAGTTCGATGATGATGATGCTGCTGATGATGATGATGATGATGATGATGATGATGATGATGATGATGATGATGATGATGATGATGATGATGATGCTGATGCTGCTGATGATGCTGATGCTGATGATGTCGATGCTGCTGCTGATGTTTATGCTGCTGGTGATAATGCTGATTACGGCGATGATGCGGCTGCTGATGATAATGCTGCTGCTGGTGCGGCTGCTGATGATGATGCTGATGATGATGATGATGATGATGATGATGATGATGGTGATGGTGATGGTGATGGTGATGGTGATGGTGATGGTGATGATGCTGTTGATGATGCTGCTGACGATGATGCTGATGGTGATGATGATGATGATGATGATGATGATGATGATGATGATGATGCTGATGATAATGACGATGCTGTTGACGATGATGGTGTTGGTGATGACGGAGTGTGAGTCTACCTTTCTGGTGACTCGAGCCGCGCGACGAGGTGCTGCTGATAGCAGGGGCAATACCAAGAGCAGCAGGGGCCGTCGGAGGATTGGGAACACACGTGGAGGAGAAGGGGGCGAGTCGGAGAAGGATGACGAGGATAGTGCGGATGATGATATTGATGGTGATGAAGATGGTGATGCTGATGATGATGATGATGATGATGAGGATGATGGTGATGCTGCTTATGATGCTACTGATGGTGACGATGATGATGCCGAGGCTGATGATGACCATGATGATGATGATGATGATGATGATGATGATGATGATGATGATGATGATGATGATGATGATGATGATGATGATGATGCTGATGCTGATGCTGATGCTGATGCTGATGCTGATGATGCTGATGCTGATGCTGATGCTGATGCTGATGCTGATGATGCTGCTGGTGATGATGATGCTGCTGATGATGATGATGATGATGCCGATGCTGTTGCTGATGCTGATCATGATGCTGCTGCTGCGGCTGATGATGCTGCTGATGTTACAGCTGGTGATCATGCTGATGCTGGTGTTGCTGCTGATAATGATGCTGACGCTGATGATGCTGCTGCTGATGATGCTGCTGCTGATGATGATGATGCACATGCTGCTGCTGGTGATGATACTGACCATGATGATGATGCTGATGACGATGCTGCTGATACTGATGATGATCAGGCTGATGATGCTGATAACGATGCTGATGCTGATCCCGACGATGATGATTCTGATGCTGATGATGCTGATGATGATGATGTGATCATGAGGAGGCTGATGCTGACGATGATGATGATGCTGATGATGATGATGCTGATGATGATGATGCTGATGATGAGGATGATGATGATGATGACGTTGATGATGATAATGATCATGATAATGATGATGATGCTGCTGATGATGCTGATGATGATGATGATGATAATGACGATGATGCTGATGATGATGATGACGACGATGATGATGATGATGATGATGATGATGATGATGATGATGATGATGATGATGATGATGATGATGATGATGATGATGAGATGATGATGATCCAGATAACACTGATGATGATGGTGATGATGATGAGGAGGGGGAGGAAGGAGGAGGAGGAGGAGGAGGAGGGGAGGAGGAGGAGGAGGAGGAGGAGGAGGAGGAGGAGGAGGGGAGCAGGAGGAGGAGGCAACGGAGCAGGAGGAGGAGGAGGAGGAGGATGAGGAGGTGGAGGAGGAGGAGTGGGACCAGCGTAAACCCAAGAGTCATCAACGATGTTGGAGTAAACCCTCCCTCCAAGCTCCGTCTTCATAGGCCCCTACAACGGTTCATGTCCATTGATGGAACTGCCTCGTTGGAAGACATCCGTTTGGAGACCCTGAAGCATGCCAAAAACCGTAGACGGGCAAACGGCGATGTAGCTAATGGCGATGTAGGTTTTGGTATTGTAGGTGAGGCTGGCTCGCGTGCTGGCGGCATTGGCTTCGGGGGAACCGTGTCTCGCAGGTGCGACCTGCGTGAAAAGCAGCCTTGTTTGCAAGTATGATTGGACTTCCTACGAACTCAGAATATCGCGCCGTAGACGGTAAACGGCGACGCGGATAACGGCGACGCAGGAAAAACGATTGAAGGAAAGCGTTGTTGGTGGCCGAGCCTTTTGTAGGAAAGCGTGGTTTGTGCATTCCTACATTTCGCGGTGTCGTTTTCGCTCGATACATTCGCAAATTTGACATGTAGGAAACGGTGGTTCGTGATTTCTTAGATTTCGTTTTTCGTGTGCTCTGCGTCGCAACGACGTCCGAGTTCAAACGAGCGCGCGCGATAGTTGCACGTGCGGCGCGCGCACGGCTTTGACGCCTGTAAGCGTTCGGGAACACTTGAACAAGGATGTTGAAGCTTGTTTTCGTCAAGATTGAAAGTAAGTGCGCCATGGCTCCGAATTCATCGAGTTTACACTGCGAGCGGGGGGTCTTAAACATCATATTCTCAACCTCGCCGTTAAGCAACATCGCCGTTTGCCCGGGTTTGGAAAAAACTGTTCTCGGGATTCCAACGCCACGGAACAACCTGACTGCTGCGCCCGCATAATCCTGAATCCAGAATCTGGTATTTTGATGATGAGGATCCGTGAATTTCTTGAAGATTTTGTAAACGAATGTGCGCGGCGCTAGCGCGAGAGCCACATTTTGAAAAGGAACCACCCTCAATCCGTGAAATTCTTGCAAAGTTTAAAAACGAGAATGCGCCGCACTCAGGCGAGAGCCACATTATGAAAACCACCCGCCCTCAATCCGTGAAGCTCGTGCGAATGTTTGAAACGAATGTGCGCCGCGCTCAGGCGAGAGCCACATTTTGAAAACCACCCGCCCTCAATCCGTGAAGCTCGTGCGAATGTTTAAAAACGAATGTGCGCCGCGCTCAGGCGAGAGCCACATTTTGAAAACCACCCGCCCTCAATCCGTGAAGCTCGTGCAACGTTTTAAATTGAGTGTGCGCCGAGCTAAGGCAAGAGCCACATTTTGAAAACGACCCGCCCTCCATCTGAAGCTGTTGCCAATTTTCAAGCTTCAGAATCATACATGGCAAGGAAGTCTCAGGCGAAACGCCCCGCCCGCCCTAAAAACTGGCCTCGGGGTGCGACAAGGAGAAGTTGTTTGTAAGGACAAGGAATGGGGGAGGAGGAGGAGGAGGAGGAGGAGGAGGAGGAGGAGGAGGAGGAGGAGGAGGAGGAGGAGGAGGAGGAGGAGGAGGAGGCGGAGGAGCATGAGGAGCAGGAGGAGAAGGAGGACGAGGAGAAGGAGGAGGAGGAGGAGAAGGAGGAGGAGGAGGAGGAGGAGGAGGAGGAGGATGAGGAGCGTGAGGAGGGAAGTTCGTGCAGAAGGCGGGACACGACAAGAGCAGCCGCGGCCTGGGCCCGAGCCGCGGGCTCGCGCGCGCCCTCCCGCGCGCGGCGCGCTCCGCCGAGGCCGGGCGCGAAGCGGTGTTGGCGGACGGCGGCGGCGGCGGCGACGGCGACGGCGACGGCTGCGGCGGCGGCGGCGACGGCGGCGGCGATGGCGGCGGCGGCGGAGAGGCGGCTATGCTGCTCGTCATCGGG